CGTGGTTTGTAATTATAGAAGGGCAATTATACAGACAGGGAGTAAATTCACCTTTGCTGAAATGTATTGCTGCGTCGAACACAGAATATGTGTTAGAAGAGATACATGAAGGAATTAACGGCCATCACCTTGGTGGGAAGTCGTTGGCAAGGAAAGCTATACGAGTAGGATATTTTTGGCCAACGATGGGAGAAGACACTAAAAGACATGTTCAGAAGTGTGATCAATGCCAGAAGTTTTCTAATGTGTATCAAGCTCCTCCCAAAGAGTTATTTACCATTTCGTCACCTTGGCCATTCTATAAGTGGGGCTTAGATCTTCTAGGTCCCTTTCTTAGGGCAGCTGGAGGAGTTAGATATTTGATAGTGGCAGCAGATTATTTCACTAAGTGGATTGAAGCGGAACCGGTAGTGACTATTACTGCTCGGAAGGTCCAGAAGTTTTTCATTGGAAAGATAGTTTGTAGATTTGGTATTCCGACCATAATTATCACTGATAATGGGACACAGTTTATAGACAAGAAGTTCAGACAGATGGTAGCCGACTTGGGGATAAGGCACAAGTTTGCTGCAGTAGAACATCCCCAAACGAATGGGCAAGTAGAGTCGGCTAACAAAATCTTGACGAATGGGCTGAAAAAGAGGGTGGAAGGGTGTAAAGGAAGTTGGGTGGAAGAGTTGGATAATGTGTTGTGGGGATATAGGACCTCCGTGCAGTCCAGCATTCAAGAAACACCATTTAAGATGACGTATGGTTTTGATGCTATGTTGCCGGTTGAAGTCGGAGAGCCAACCTGGAGAAGGAAAATGATATTAGAAGAAAATGAAGACGGGAATGCTGAGATGATGAAAATTGATTTACAGTTGTTGGAAGAAGAACGAGAAAGGGTGGCAATGGTTGAGTTGGCATCTAAGCAACGAGGTACAATCGGACTGTAGTCAAAAGAACGTTTCAGGAAGGAGATTTGGTGCTTAGGCGGGCAGATGTGGGTAATAAAAATGCAAGAGATGGAAAAATGGCAGCTAATTGGGAAGGTCCTTATCGAGTAATAGTTTCCACAGGGACTGGAGCTTATCAGATAGAGCACTTGGATGGGAAACCAATTCCGCGATATTGGAATGCTGCCAAGTTAAAAAGGTACTTTAGTTGAAGAAATCCAGATTTAGTTGGAAGTCGGATGGCAGATCGTAGGTCGTAAGTAAGATGTAGTTTTACATTGATGATTAGGAAGTAAGTTTAGTTTGTTACTTTAGTAGGATTATTTTATGTTATTATGTGTTGCAGTTATTTTGCATTTAAGTATGGTACATTTGAGATTGTGAGTTACAATATTTCAATTCCATAAAGCCAGTTCGACTTCAATACGTATTATTAAGAAAAAACAAAGTCCTTTTCCGCCTTAATTGGTCTCTTGGACAGCCGTTCAATTCCTACTCGGAAACGGGAAAACAAAGTCCCTTGCCGCCTTAACTAGCCTCTTGGGCAGCCGTTCAATTCCTACTCGGAAACGGGAAAACAAAGTCCCTTGCCGCCTTAACTGGCCTCTTGGGCAGCCGTTCAATTCCTACTCGAAAACGGGAAAACAAAGTTCAATTCCTACTCGGAAACGGGAAAACAGAGTTCAATTCCTACTCGGAAACGGGAAAACAAGTACTTAAGCAAGTATTAGGATCGCATAGTTATCAAATTCAAAGGACAACAATAAGAAAACTAAAACACATCATTTTACTTCATGATTACGAGTTCAAAATATTGAAAAAAACAAGTAGCTTAGGAGTACAGGATTACATTAGTTATAATAGAAAAGCTGAGTACAAAATAAAGTGGTGTCCAACTTTTTTAAGTAGTCTTAGGAATAGTATTTGAGGCAGCAGGGTCGGAAGTAGGAGAAGATCCCAGATAATCAGAGGGGTTTTCAGCAAGTACAACAATGGAGCCTTTTTCGTCATGAGTACATAGTCGATCATTATCAATAAAATTGAAAGTTTCTATTTTGCTCAAATGAGGCAAGGGAGAGTCTGGATGGAAAAATTTCACTTGATCCACAACCCAGCCACGAATTTGATGACCAAAGGCAACATACTTAGAATCCATGTCATCAACAGCCTGTTGTAAAGCCAGGACATTTTTCTTCAGAGTATCCACTTCTAGCTCTAACTCAGCTACCCGGAGGTCAGAATCTTCAAAGTTTTTTGTCAACACCTTGTGTTTGTCAGTCAACACTTGATGCTCTTTTTTGAGAGTAGCAAGTTCCTCATTGCTTTTCTTACTTGATTCTTCGTTTTCTTTGAGTTTAATTTGGAAGCCTTGAGCAACAAACTCGCTAGCTTCGGCCTTTTGAAGGAGCTGTGTTTTTTCTGTTTGAAACTTTTCTTTTAAAAGTTGTGACTCTTTCAGCTCAGTTAGAAGTTGTTGGCGTTCAGCTAAATAGAGAAGGGCCATTTCGTAGTAGTGCGCTTCCCGAAGAGAGTGATCCCGGATGTCAGTGAATTTGGCAATAAGTTGATCTAAAGAGAATTTGTCCCATTTTTCACGGAGCCTGGGAGTAAAGCACGGCTTCAATTTTTTCATAAAAGGGGGATCTGAGCGAGGGGTAGCCATGACAGAGGAAGGTGGAGTTGAAGACTTTTCAACATAAGGGTCAGGACTAGGTTCGTTAATTCGAACTCGTTTTCTTCGACGGAGCTCGCTTGAATCAATCGGGGCCTCCACGTCCATTATAACAGTATCATCCGGGATAGAACCTGCAGCGGAAGTAGCCGGCATAGGAGAACGAGTTGGAGAGATGTCTTTTCCACCTGAAGCAGATGAATCGTCTTTACGGGTAGCCTTTTGCTTTTGGCGGGCAAAAAAAGTAGGGTCCATGAATTTATTTGGAAACCACAGATACAAAGAAAATAGATTTGAGGTTAAAGGCAATATACAGATAAAAACATATCAGAATTATTTAAGTTACTTACTTAATTTCCTACAAATCCAGTTAGAAGAATCTTTATAAGTTAGAATAGACCGAGGAATGAGGGAAATATTTTCCTTAGCTAATTCGGAGGCAAGCTTTTTGAACCAAGTGTAAGTTTCAGTTTCGTCTGGGGTCAAATTCTTTGAATTCGTCAAGAATGCTTTGGCAGAAGTTGTGTAATGATGACGGTTCCAACTGAGAGGAAAGCGCGGAGCTCCGTTGTGATCCAAAAAGAAAGCAGAAGGAGGGGCAGGTTGAGAAGAGGAGGAAGAGGCAGAAGGTGTAGCAGGAAGAGCTTCAGGAATACAGATTTTGAAGTATTCTACTTTGAAATTTTTCCAGTTATCTTCATATATAGTACACCAACGTAACCCGGGTCGAGCTTTTGGATACCCAGCTATGACGAGTACATCCTTTATCTACAGCATTTCGGAACACAGCAAAAAGGCAGAAAAAGACCCGAAAGGAATAGGTGAATCCAAACGAACGACAGATTATCTCGAAGGTATGTAAAAAACACCAACTGTTAGGATGTAGTTGAGAATGAGCGACTTCCAAGTGATTCAAGACGTCCATTTGGAACTCGGAGAAAGGTAAAGATATGAAGAGGTCAGAACATAAACATTTGTAGGCAAAGAAGAAAGAGTTCTTACCTTGCCCGGAAAGCGAACAAATACGTTCTTCTTCTCCGGGTACTGCAACTCGGAAAGAAGTGATAATTGAGTCATGAAATAAAGGTACAGTTTGTAAGGCAGTATGGAGGGAACTCGACTGGTTTTCATAAGAGGAACGAAACCCTAGAGCTTCTTCGTCAACCCATTCTAAACCTTCAACAGTAGAAGGTAGTGCGAAGCGAGAAAGGGGAAGCGAACGGTAGGGACGATTCCTCGGCATGGCCTGGACGGAAAGGTACCAATAAAATCTATTTTAGAAGATATAGTGCAAGATAAAACGTATATAACGCAAAATGTGTTGGTTACACTTAGATTCCTAACCCGTCCAGAACATGATAGGGTGGTTAAAGAAAACCAAAGAAGAGGAAGAGATAAAGATCAGGAAAGTATGGAGTAAAGGAAAGAGATAAGGGATAAGATGATAAGTTTTGGGCAAGATTTGTTAAGGAAATAGATGACAAGATAAGCATTAATATGCACAAATAATGTCAGAAATCAACTACGATGTAATACAGGAAATAGAATAACTTACTTGTATAAGGTGCTGGGGGCTTCAAACAGGTGGTAAAAGAATGGTGGCAAGATCCACGCAGAGAAACCAACGAAACAGAGAGGGAGAAAAACCAGGAAGAATGGCAAGAAAGGGGAATGTCAAGAGGAAGAAGAAGAAGAAAAACGTAAGAAAAGAAAAGAGGCAAACGGTAATATAAGGGTAGAATGAGGTAAGTGACGTTTCCGATTTTCAAAAGTAATGATAGATGTCAGGGTGAGTTGTTTCAGATGTCAAGTCGTTTCGAAGATCAAGGCAATCAGAGAGTGACAAGTAGCAATTGGAAGCTGAATAGGCAGGGAGTATTTAATAAAGATACTGACGTAAGAAAAAAGTAAAGGGCAAAATAAGTGAAACCTTAAGAGTTAAACTCGGAGTAAAAACCTATTTAACTCCGACTTTGGGGGCTTAATGTTCCGGGTTCATACAGTGAGCCGTACTTGCTCGTAAGAGTAAAGGACACGGAACCCGGATATATTTTACCCGGATAGGCGGTTGGTCATGTCAGTGAGTATTACACGTAGTGAAGTTAGCAGTTGGTTGAGTCAACCAGTAGTACAAGTAATGGAGTTATAAGTGGGCCTACCACGATGCCATGATGGTATCCACCACTTCCATAATAAAGGTAACTGTTCAGAAGCTAGCCCATATATACACCAAGGATAGAGATAACTAGGAGATAACCAAAATAGATATCCATACTAATGTTCGTCAACAATTTTCAAAATTAATTTACCCAAAATTAAAAAACTAAAGAAAACCAAAGTGAATTATGGAAGGGAATCCATATTCAACTAATCCTAATTTTATTTAGCTCCGAAATTTATCCCAATGTTTTGCCCTAATTTCCTTAGCTCATTCACCGTAGCCATCTGCCACCGGGGTTTCCGCCGGAGCCGCCGTCATTCAACTGCTCTCTCTTCACCATATCTGATTATTCTCTGCCGTCAAGTTTCTCCTTGACTTGTGATTTCGGTTGTGGCTGTTGCATCTTTGATGAATCAGCCTTACCACCACAGGTTAGCATTTATTCTGTTGCCACTGTTTTGGTTTTGGAGCAAAATAAAGTTCTGATCCTATCGTTATTTTTGTTTTTCTATTGATTTTGGAATATAGTTTTTTCTTTATTGTGCATTTCATTTGTTATTTTTCTTTTTATTTTGTGAAGTGTGTCAATACTTAGTAGCTTTAGCTTTTGTTAACTATGCTAAATCTAATCATTATTTGATTACTATTGTGAAGACTTGTTGATGTTTTTGGCTGAATCATTCCCTATGATTTACTCTTCTACAGGTTAAACTCTGTCTGTTTCTCTATCTCTTTTGTTGGAATACTGAACTCTCTCAAGGAATAATTGTCAATCAAAACCCAACAACCTTCACCATTCATTTTACTGGAAACTCCTGCCTTTTAAGTTTTTGCACTAAATGTTCTTCAACTTTAACAAATCTGCGGCCAAAACAATCAAAAAGCTGCTCTGGCCTTGTGAAAAATCAATCTTGTTGATCCCTAGTGTTCCTTTCTCACACATTCAGAGGTACAGTTACGTTAATGTGTACATGAAATGGAAAAAAGATTCGTACTATGACTCAATTGAGCACATCCACCAGTCCATTCAGCTCAAACCTCTCATTGCCCTCAAAAACTGCGTTGCCCGGGATCCCAACGGGTGCATCCCTATCTCTGATGTGTCAAAGAGGGGATTACAGTTAGATGTGCCCACGAAGGTTGCAAGATTTATGAGGCAATATCCATCTATTTTTGAGGAGTTTACAGGTCCTAAGTACAATCTTCCTTGGTTCAGGTTGACGCCAGAAGCTGCTGAGATTGACAGGGAGGAGAAGAGAGTATATGACGAATGCAGGGAGGACTTACGGTCCAGGTTGAGGAAGATGATATTGATGACCAAAGAGAATGTTCTTCCTTTAAAGATTATTCAAGGGATGCAGTGGTATTTGGGGTTGCCTGATGATTTTTTGCAGTACCCAGAACAGAATCTTGATGAATCTTTCAGGTTTGTAGAGATGGAAGATGGATTGAAGGGTTTGGCTCTTGAAAACAGAGAAAAGGTTTGTTCTGTAATGGAGAAGAATGCCATGAAAAGAGGTTTGTACTGTGGGGGCCCGATGGAGGCCATTGAATTTCCTTTTTTCCCATCACAGGGTCTGAGGTTGAGGAGGAAGATTGAGAATTGGCTACATGAATTTCAGAAGCTTCCTTATATTTCACCTTATGATGATTTCTTGAATTTGGATCCAAATAGTGACATAGTAGAGAAAAGAGTTGTGGGGTTTCTTCATGAATTGCTTTCCCTTTTTGTTGAGCATTCAGCAGAGAGGAAGAAGCTCTTTTGCCTCAAGAAGTATTTTGGGTTGCCACAGAAAGTGCACAAAGCTTTTGAGCGGCATCCCCATATGTTTTATCTATCTTTCAAGAATAAGACTTGTACAGTCATTCTCAAGGAAGCTTACAACAATAAATCAGCCATTGAGAAGCATCCTCTATTGATAGTGAGGAAGAAGTACATCAAGTTGATGAAGGAATCAGTAGTGATTTTAAGGAATAGGAGGCTAAATAATCGGTTTTCTAATTGTAGTGCAGAACTGGATTTAGATTCAGATGATGTGGATGAAAGGGAACCAGAGATGGTAGGTTGTTCTTTGGAGCAGGTTACATGAAAAGTTATAAAACAAGACTTTAAGTTGCTTCATCAGAAGGAACACACGAGGTTTCTACCAACAGAGAAATGAACACAAGTAGCTGAGGAATAAGCATATGTTGAAAAGGCATATCAGCTTCTTCATGTGACAGGTTAGCACATCTGGTTGTATCCTATCCTTGAGGTATTTTTCAATTTCATGTCTATATATATAAAGAATGTTGTCACTGTTGTGATTAGTTTTAGAATAAAGCTTGATTAACTGTATTGAATTCTTTAGCCTTACACATTTTTTGTTGTTTTAAATTTCTTAGGTATCTATTTTGGCTACGCGTGCTCTACTTTATGGATGTACTTGTTAGCATACCATAACATTGTATTCAAGCTTTTCCTGACTTTGTTTTATATGCTTTGCTGTCATGTTTTTGACGTGTAAATTTCCCTTGAATCTCTGCAATTTTGGTGTGCCTTATAGTGTTGAAATTACAGGGATTTAGGTATACATGGGGAAATAGTGAGATATTCTAACAAGTGGAAATGGACATTATAAGCAGGTGTTTAGAAAAAATTGGCTTTTATCTGTGGGACTTGGACAGTTATGCACATCTTATGTAAAAACAAGTCTGGTAAGTTTATGCTCTTTCGTGGGGTTCTGGAACCATTCACATAGCAGATTTGGATATGTGGAGAGATCCTTTGGATCTCAGCCTGTACGGTTTTGAAATACAAGAAGCAAGAGAGATCATCACAAGTGATTGGGATCGAGAAGTTTTGACTGATGATTAAATAGAGCATGCTGTTGTCCATGCTCATTGTGCTTTCATGATCCGGAACAACCTCTGGGTTTCGAGGTATTCGTACAATACAGTATATGTTCATTTCTTTCATGTTACGATTATATGACAATAGTAATACATTGTTACTCTGGCAATATAGTGATTTGTTTGATCCTTCTTGCTTCGTTAGGTGATTGCACAATACAGTATATGTTCATTTCTTTCATATGACAATAATACAGTGATTTTATTCTTGCAAGTTCTCAGCATTTTTGCTTATTTATTGATATTCCCATCTTTTGACCATAAAAGAGAGGAATACGACTCATTATGTTGATGTTAATTGTCACACCCTTCACAAGTATCTGGAAAGAGGGTAATAATAAGAGGAAAGAGGAATGTGTGCGTGAAATGCCGAAAACATCTATCATGTTAAATTTAGGTAAACCACATTATTGTGGTAGCAAAAGTTGTGAGTTTATTGATTTTATAACATTACATTTTTAAGATCTCTATATTTTTCTCAATTTTAAAGATATAGTAAACTGATCCTAGTTAAGAAGTCCTGCCGAACTCAAATAGGAATAAGTAAAAATCAATTGTTTCCTAACAATGCAAGAAGAAAAGTCTTGTAATATCCTGTTATCTCTCTAGCCACGGAATTATCAAGGGTGACACTGTTTCTCTTGAAATAAAGTTCCTTGATTTCGTTTAAATCCTTCTCTGCTCGAGTGATGATAACGCGGCTCAAAGCATGCTCTTCAGTCACCACATCACTCAAGGCGTGCCATAACACCTAAACCAAATCAACGTATAAAAGTGTTTTATAAAAGAGCAAAAAAATTGTAGAAATAGTTGATAACGTATTTGAATGACTTAGTTACCTTGGCCAAGTATCTTTGGGGGTTCTTAATGCAACGAATGGCAGTGCGCAGTGCTCCTATGTATTCATCAATTGGATTGGCAAATAATCCCTACAATTAGCAAAAATATCAGTGTATAATTAGTTGGGGAATGGACATTCATGACTTCTATTTACAAAGTAAAACATTAATGAAATCAACATTAATGAAATCATTCATATATCTGCCTCTTAGAAGCGAAGGTTGAAATTTAAGAGTTTTATGCATATAAGAATTTGCTAATTATCAACATGCTACTTGCGAGCAAAAATAAAAGCAATAAACGTACGACCAATAATTGACGATGAACCTAATTCATAGGTTTTTAACTACATTTTTATTAATTATAAGTCAACTATCTTTTAAATCTACTTAATACCAAATTCAGCCCTTAATTTTGACAAGATTTTATGATCTCTATTGTAATTAAAAATAGGTTACAATCTTCTTTGATTTCAATTTAATAAATTTATAATCGCATAGAAGGGATGATGAATTTTAACTGTTTAACTGTGATGAAGTCCCGACTTAGTTTGCTCAAAGCGACTCAGGATTAGTTTGCTCAAAGAGTTGAATTTTGTGAAAATATGCGGGAACCAACTCATCTCAAAGAAGTAATTAGAGTTGGTTTAAAAAAAACAAACCCCATTTTCTTAATAAGTTTTTAGCATAGATATTTCAGATAAATGGTGATATGTGTGCCTGCTTTTTCTCTATTTTGTTTATAGAACAAAATATATAAACTTATATTACCTTGGTAATTGTTGAGCCATATATGTTCCGAAAGGCATTGAAAGTCCCTCGCAGCTGCTGCTTACTTCTTGTGCTTAAAATTCTAATAATTTCATCATCGTTAAAAGCCTTCTTTTCAATTACTTGATTAAGAATATTTGCTTCTGAATGGGCCATACTCTCATCAAATTCATCTCCCTCATACCTATAGATGCTTATAACAGCAACCAACAACTGCAAGAAAAATCATAAGCCTCGTAATTTGGATGCTAATTGAAGTGTAAAAAAGAAAGAGGTGAATTTTTTTTAGATATTCGTATTTATATTCAAGTGGGTTGTTCGTGCTAGTAGAAATATTACTTCCGTGTACCAATAGCACTATAATGCATGTCAATGAAAGATTAGCAATGCATACATTTATGCTAATTTTCATCTTCAACAATCAAATCAATGAGAATACAATTTAGAGCCTGTTTAGCTAGCAACTAAGTTCATGTGATCTCTTTATAAATTTCCAATTGTTTATTATTCTTATTCCTAAATAAACTTGAAATATTTTGCTTTCAAAAAACAAAGCACACAATTAATAGCTCAAGAATTCACATACTTTGCGAATATCACCATTTGTTTGGGAGGCCACATCTTCTTCAAGGCAATGTTTGTATAGAAACTGGTATGAACGCTTTACAGATAGAAGCTCTTCTGAAGTTCTAGTGCAAGCAATCTCAATAATCACTTTGTAATCTGGGGTTGCTTTCTTTAATGCTTCGTTAATAAATGTAGCATCTCTTTCAGCTGGATCCATCGTCCAATAGCTAATAGCACTCTGGTTTGAATGGTAGTTGTTATATTTGGCAATAAGAATGTTATTCATTCAAAAGATATATCCAAAATACTTTGTTGTTATAAAATTTAAACTATCATATACAATAAGTTAGCTTGGATGGAATTAATATTATTTCCACCAATAACAGTCCAATATTTATATTCACAAAACAATGTTAGCGAGGATGTATTTGCATGTTGCGAATATATAAAATATTAATGCTATGAATTGCAATATTTTTACTTCAAAGCTTCCTGAAAGTTCAGATTTGAGTTGTTGGATAAGATCCTCATGATAAATGTCTTCATAAGCCAGCCTCACAAGTTTCCTTTGAGCTACATTTCGATGTGCTAGTATGGATATAAGAGCTGTCTCATCTGTTCCCAATCCTATAAATTATACACAATAGAAACATGGATTTATGTTAGAAATGTAATAAAATTAATGTGTACCTGTATGGTGCACTGTTTTAATTTTATAAAGGAGATTTAACTAACTTAATAATAATAAAAAAAAACAAATAGTAAATTTAATGACAAATCAAATTAAAGAATTGCATTGATACGTCCACTATATGACTCATAAATTTATTAATAATTAGTAAAATCAGATATTATTATTACAAAACAAAATGTGAAGATCAGAATGAATATATATATATATTATCTTTATCACTTGTGTAGGTTTTGCAAATATATTATGAACACGAAATCTTAATGCATTAAACTTTAAAGATATGTATACTTTTACTCGTGCACTTTACAGACAAAATCAATTTAAGAAATCTTATTCTATGAAATAATCTTATTCTAAGCTTCTTTGAGGCTTATATTATCTCATATCAGACGATAATTAGATATAGGTATCTACTAAAAGAACATAAATAGATAAAATCGGAATTAGGGTGATGAAATAATGATCATAGACTTGACCTTTTTATCGAGGAAATGTAAATATCATGTTATTATATACCGTGAAACTTTTTGCAGTAAGACTTTCTTCATTTCTTGTGTGCAAAATAAAGATATCTAGAAACAAAAAAAAATTGCAGAAAGATAACCTTTGCATGCCCTCTTGATAATTTCAGCATCTTCAACAGGAGAAGAATCTTTTGCAGCAATTAGAGTAGCCATTTGGTTTTGAGTCTTATCTTTAGGTAGTGTTGGATTTGTATAAAAGAGTTCATTCTCCATTTTCTATTTTATAGAAGAGAAACATGAAACAACTGTTTCAGCAATTCAAGTAACATTCTTAATAACTGAACTATATGTTATTCTAAAAGTAAAGAGTTCCTTTTTTCAATTAATAAAAATAACTGAAATATGTTAATGTAAAAAGAGGTTTTATTAGAAGAAAAAAAAAACGAATTAATAACGGATTAGCGTTAAATATATCAATGCTCTGCAAGCGTTGAAAAATTTAAAAACTCGGTTTCCGAAAAAATTAGATTGTATCAAAAGAGAAAGTCTAAGAATTTATTTATTATATCTCTCTTTTAAAAGATAATTTTTATCATGATAAAATTTATATGAATCCTTCACAATCCCCCCTTTGAGTGCATATGGGGAGTATCCACCTACAATACAATAATGGTTTACATTGACAAGTAAGGACAAATTAAAAGCACGACTTTTGATGTGAATGTGGTTGAATGAGAATAGACAAGGATGGAGGTGTGATGGTGTGAAATGGCTACACGGGACACTAAGTATAGTGGGTGGTGTCCTTCTTGTCAACTACATATCATGATAGAGACCCAATGTGAAAATTAGGTCCAAAGGGACTCACTACTACAAATCAATGTCCTACCCCTTCATGTGCTCGCACAGGAATCTACATAGTTTTTGAAATCAAAGCCTGCCATCTGCTAGTATCCACCAGGGTAACAACTTCTTTATTAATGCCCGTTGAGTTGCATAATACAGGACACAAAGACCATAGTTTAAAATATATATATATATATATATATATATATATATATATATATATATGAGTCAGGATCATTTTACACCAGTGTAAGTTACACTCTCAATCTTTTCCGTTGATCTCATTTATATCTAAAGACTCTAATTTTGTAGTAATGTGAGTCATTGGATACAAGTGGATCAATGGTCAAGATTGAGTGTAAGATTTCTAACTCTTACACTGGTGTAAAAATATCTTGCCCCATATAGGGTCAGGATCATTTTACACCAGTGTAAGTTACACTCTTAATCTTGTCCGTTAATCCCACTTATATCTAAGGACTCTAATTTTTTAATAATACGAGCTATAAGATACAAGTGGATCAATGGTCAAGATTGAACGTAAGACTTCTAACTCTTACATTGGTGTAAGAATATACTGCCATATATATATATATATATATATATATATATATATATGAAAAAAAAATTTCTACAGTCACTTTATATACGTGGAAGGATTATATTTATAAATTTTTTGTTTATAAACTCTTACAAACTACACTATATACTCTCGTCGGAACTATTTACTTTCGAAAATACATAGTGTAATTTGTAAAAAATATTTGTAAACGGAACATTCCCCAATATATATATGGGTTATGTTTATTTCATTTTACATGAGATAAACAACTCTCCTACACACACAAAAAGAGGTTGGGTCCCACTACTCTTTTTTCTCTCCTCTTACCTGTGGGTCCCACTTATACTTTTATTTCTACAACATGAGATAATTTTTTTCCTACAACATAAGAAAAATATATCCCATATATGAGTTTAATGTTTCTCATATATCGTAGGAGATAAATTTATTTTCTACATATACATAAAAGTATATGGAGGCCCAAGTGAGGAGAAAAGAGAAAGAGAAAATATGATTTCTATACACTTTTATATATGTGGTGTAAGAGATAAATTTATTTTCTATAACACGAGAAACATTAAACTCTGTATATATAGACACACACTCTCTTTGTCTTAGACCCAGACCCTGGTAGAGGCTATTTTACCCTGCTAGACCTGTAGCAGAACGAAAACAAAATAAAACCTAAAGGCATCAGCCCATAGCTGCTGATACTATTCTTTCAGCCAAAACATAAACTTGATCAAGGACCACTTCATTCCTATGCAACATATGTCTCCAAAGTAAACAAATTATAAATTATACTACATGATAAGGACCATTGGTAGTGTCTAATGTGCTGCAATATGAATTGCCAAGTTTTGGAGGCACACGCAACTTCAGATTGACTGCCACATCTATTCTACAGTAGTAACTTGGCTCATAATATTACTTAAAATATGTCAAAGTGCCACTTTATATCCGGTTTGAATTTATATTCTCCTTTGGAGTGTGGTTTGCAGGATACATCTTGCAACATGCTGCGAAATTTATTGTTGAATAATACACTAAATCTATTCCTGTGACAATTTGATTGGTCAAGAAGTTGGCAAGGATAGTGCAAAATTTCCACAGTTTCCACTCGAGTCACATCTCGTAGAATCCCCTAGTCTGACTTCTTGAGCTTCATAGCTCTTCGCTCGGTCTAGCTCACCCCTTAGCATCAACACTTTCCATGACTCATGTTGAAATCTTTGATTTTGAAGAATGCTTCTCCTTACAAATTTAATGACAAGTTCACACTAAAGTCTTGTTCTTCCTTTGCTTTGCTTTCTATGAAACTATTTTCTTGTTAAATGGAAGGTGTGTACACTAGTTTGATGCATATGATACTATTGCTTCACAAAAATTTTAAGTTAGGAGACTCCACCCTTGTCACTTCTAAGAATCTTCTATTTCTTTTCCTTTTTATTTTATATACCTAACTTATAGCATTTAAATATACCAAAAGCTGCGTCTTTAGATTTCATAAGATATGCATAATTACATTCTTCAACTATGATGCACAGATACAAGTACGAGCATCGGATATGATACAGGTAATCAGGTATGATATAGGGATATAGTTTTTGTCCAAAAAAATTAAGAGGCAGGTAAAAGTATGATATAACATAAATATAGAAAATTATATATATTATCTCAGAATTTAAAAATAAAATAAAAATGAAATCATCATAAGACCGCATAAATAAAACACAATAATGGGCCACTTCATGATTTAGAGAAAAAGTGAAGAAAAAAGATTTTATTTTTAATTTAATCATTGCAAATGCAATACAAACTAATGTTTATCAAGTATATGAGTATGAAATACGTCCCAACACGGTACGGCAAACATTTTAAAGTACTTATGCTTCCTAGATCTTCAATAACTATAAATGAATCAATGAATTTTATGAAATACAATTTTCTAGTCATTTTTTTCTTGACAGTTATCATTGACATTATTCTTACATATCATGTTGTTTGACAAAAATATGACAGGGTTACCAAGGAATTTCTTGACCATCCCAGGCAAAGAACTTGCCATTGTCATGGCTCTTCACATTGTTAATGATGCTTAGCAGCTTTTGGACTGAGAACTCTTTGCTGAAGAGCTTGTCTTGGGGAATATTTCTTTGAAATGGCTTAGAGAGATCTGTGTCAACTGTACCAGGATGCAATAAAATGCAGATAATTGGATCCTTCTTTCTTGTAAACTCCACGGAGACAGTCTTTGATACTGTTAGAATATAAGGGGGGGAAAAAAGCTCGTAAAGATTACCATTTCAAACACTTTGGACAATTTCAAATTCACTTTGATTTGTACTTCACCAATGCATAGCATTTATTATTATTAAAATTATATGCAACTATAAAATGAAAAGACCAGAAATATGGTTTTATGCAAGCACTATCAATTGAAGTGATGCCTTACTCATCTGGATTCTGGAGTGATTAATGTAAAAGAACAAAGTGTGGCTTTACATAATAATTGCATTTATAGTGTTGAACAATGCTGTGGAAATCCAACAATATGCAAGATTCAATCTGATGATGAATTTTTCAGTTGGGTTATGATGGATCCTTGTACATGGGATGAGATGGGTCATGTGTAGTACACTAGTACATGACTTAAGGATTATTATATACATTTATATATAGTCAGACCACACATGCATGATCCAATGAGGCACTTAGACTTGTATTATTGAAAATCCCATAACATAAATCATAATAAAAAAGCCATACATTGATTAAGAGCAGCCTTTGAAGATCGATAAGAGTGCCAACCCCCAAGACTATTGTCCCCAATAGATCCAACCCTTGCACTCAAACTAGCCACAACTGCAGCACTTCTTTCAGTCCCAGAGCCGCCCCCAGCTTTTAGAAGAGGCCACATGTGCTGATTTAAAAACTCTCAGAATTAGATATAAAATATTGGGAATGATCCGTTTACAAATTTTTACAAATTACACTATGTACTCCCGGAAGTACATAGTGTAACCTAGTGTACTTCCAAGAGTACATAGTGTAATTTGTAAGAGTTTGTAAATATAACCCTTCCCATAAAATATTGGCTCAAATTATTGAAAACATGTTCTTTTATAAAATCGAAGGTAAAGAAACACATACAAAATTAGACAAGAACAATGATAAATACATTGTTGTAATTATTGCACAAAACTACTAAATTTAAAGAAAAAGGTAAAATTTCAAAGGAAAACAGTTCAACTCTTTATTATTCAGGGGCCTTGAAGGACCAATGTCCCTTAAATAAATTCTCCTGTGATAAAATATTGTGGGCATAGGAACGGAAAAACTACTCAATTCAGCATGAATTACAGAACAGAGTGAACTACTTAAATCAGGATGTTGTCAACAGGGTCTCGGTAAGGAGTCCAATAGGGTCCTGATCATGAAGAGAGTCATTTTATGAAAGTAAGCAAGAGAGAATGGAGGGCGAGTCTTGGAGCAGTGGTAAGGTGCTCCTTGTGGTCGGAAGATGACAGTGAGTCTAGGAAATAGCAATGCAAGGATAAGACTAATTATCGTAAGTCAGGGAATCTTATGCACTTGGGTTTGTCCTAAGCACGATAGCGTGGAGGATTTGCATAGTAGTTTCTTCTCATGTGCCAAATAAGCATGCTCCGTGTCTATTTATAGCTGTTAACCAAAAAGCCTGGTTGAATTTTTCACAAAAAATTCATCATGTGCATCTCACGGAACAAGTGCCCTGAGGCATGCACAGACACACAAATGGTATGATATAACTTGATGCATAAGGTTATGACCATATGGTATGAGTCCATTTTTTAAACTAATCTGGGGTACTAATAGTTATTGACTGGTGCAACAGCAGGAGTTTTATATATCATATTATTCCAAATCCAACTAAACTGTGGGACTTCGAATTTTGACAGAAGTAAAAAACGAAAATACTACAATATCACATTTCTTTGTACTCTGTCAAGGCTGTTCAACAGCTTGTTATAGGCTTAATACCCTCCAGCAGAACCGGATTCAAAACAATCCTCTTATTGACTTCTCGGTCAATCATTGAGATATTTCATACTGGTTCACACGTTCATCAACAAATTGGACTGCTTTCATCCTTGTAAAATTGTAGGGTGTAGACTATTTTTAGGGAAGTGACAAATCGGAAAGGTAATCTTTGAAGTTCAAATAAATAATAATTAAAACATAACAGGTAAGAAAGAGAGAATATTTAAACAGGACTAAGAGCAAGAGTGATTTAAGTCTTATCTCTATTGTGTCATACCAAATTAACAACTGAACTCATTTACATCTACTTGCTGTCATTAACACCAGATAAGTAGGAATGACTTGACAGTTATTGACATTACTCATTGACAGTCACATCAAATAAGCATTTCAATGACATGTATAGGTGGCATCGTCAATTATTATAAATTGACGAAAAAGCAGATAGCTTACATATCAAATATCTCAATATGTCAAATCAGATACATGCAAACAAGCATGAGTATATTATCCTGGACTTTAGTAAATAGTAACGATTTCTAAACAAAGATATTCTCATAGGGCCACTATAGTAAGCTAATCATTTCTTTACCGAATTTACTAACATTAACCAATAATAACTAGAATAAGCATATTAGCAATTTATCATATGCATATCCATATCCATATCATCCTGCAAATCCCAAGGCCCTCTATAACCTCCACAAACACATAAAGAACCAATATTTACTCTTAAAATTATCATAAATAGATAAAAATAAAATAAATAAACAACTTTTGTAATGAAAATTAGATTGATGTTACCTTGATAACTAAGATAGGACCCACGGCATTAACCTCATATGCAAGCATTAAAGATGACTTCTCCAATTTGTTCAATGTTGTTTCTGTATTGTATAGATAACTAATGTGATCAACTACCTTGTATTTGTAAGAAACATCAACTCAAAACAAGATTATAGAGCTTTAGCTCGGAGCTATACATCACTGGCCCCCATTATACACTCCTTTACAGAAACGAGCTCTTACTTTTCTCCTTTTCTCACATAAATCTGCTACAAACTTGTTTTCTTTTTTTCTCTTTCCATCTTCTTTTATCTCTTTAGTTATTGTGTGTGTGTGTGTGTGTGTTGGGGGGATTAGAAAAACTTATACAGTTGCCATATACTGTAGGATCTTACTTAAACCTGCCTGTATGGTACAACAGGCAGTGGATATTCTGAAGTTCATTACAAAGAATGAAACAAAATCTTTACCTGGTTGCAATACTTCAGGTATTGAAAGAATGCCAGACGCATTAATGAGAAGGTTTAGATGGCCATATCTCTCTTTTATTGACAATGCAGATGCCTGAAATATTATGAAATACACAAATCTTTACAAATTAATGGGTTTTTAACTATTCGAATCTAACATTGAACCATCTTAATTCCTATAAAAGAATATGAATTTCATAATTACGTTTCCAGCTTTAAATAGGCTAAAAGGGAAATTGCACTTACCCCCCTTCCCCCCCCCCAAAAAAAAAAAAAAATCCCAATTTCACTTTCCCTTGAACCACAAATTTTGGCACATGCCACCCTAATATATCATCCTATTACCAATGGCCCACCGCTAATTAAATTGTCTGTAAATTGTAATGGGAGCAACAATCACATGACCTCACATCAGTCTTGATAGAAAAGGCCACTAGATTTGTTAATTTTCTCCTGACAATATCTCCCATATTGAAGCAGACAAGTGGATTAATGCAATCAGGGTAATAGATTGTTGGGTCCGTGGCCCATGATGGACCCGGCCCAAATTAAATGGGTGCCCTAATCTCTTGTTTGTAAGAGATGCTTAGATGCTGAGTCGTCTCAGAGAGTGAAAAAGAAGAAGAAAAAATAAAGAGAGAGAGAAACGTGAAGGCTGGGCTAATTGAATCTGAGTCCGAGCTAAGAATTGCTGGGCTCAAAGACACAACATAGATTAGGGTATATATGTTCAATGTCCTTTAGGTATAATGTTTAACAATTTCTATCCTTACCCACAACTTACATAGCATCTACCATCTAGCCATGTAACTAGGATAACCAAGCCTCCTCTTGGTGTCTAAATGCATGCTTCTATTGGTGTGAATGCAAGAGAGAAGGAAAATAATTAAGGGAAAGGAAGCATAACCTCAATTGAACTTTCAACAGTCAAATCCAACTGCAAAATTCCAAGACGATCCGCAAATTTATCTTTCAGATGGATAAGCCCAGTTGACGCACTAGGATTACGGCATGTAGCAATAACATGCCCTTTATCATTCTCTAGCAGCTGTTTTACCTGTAGAAGGCAGAAACTGAAATTAATGTTAAATTGTAATCGATCCATTGATCTTCGGGCCTTAAGGAAATTTAGCAAACTAGAACAATTATTGTTCTGCTTTTGAAAGATAATATAAATTGACTGTTACTATTATTATTATTATTATTCTACCAAAGCAACACTGCATCAACAAGATGAAGAAAATAAACACATCAAGGCAAATCCCAAGTTAAAAATAAGAATAAATTACTATTACCATCATTGCATTTTAATCTAATTACACAAACCTCCCTGAAATTGTAAAACAAACCCTTGAAAAACCTGCACAAAACTACCTTGAATTTTGCTTATTTGTTTACAAACTTCCTCCTCCAGGGGACATTCCTTAGATTTTCAAAATAGAGTAGAGGTTTGCGTAGTTAAGGAAAGAATTCCAGGGAATTCACTCTAACAACAACAACAATAATAATAATAACATTGTTCAGACCGTAAATGATTTATACCAAAGACAGAGTTCTGAAGTGGACTCTTTCAATGATCATGCATATCTGAATGTTAGAAGTTAAAAATGTTAAGCTCTTTTTGATAGTGTAAAACTATGATTTAAGCACTAACACTGTCGTCAAAATAATAAACATAACATACAATTATGTTTCAAGAACCGAATTATCAGTAAGATTGAAAATAAAAAAAAATTTAAAAAAAAACACACACGCACACACATCCCAGCAACACAAGGAAATTTTTTGACAATGTGGGCAGAGCCCAGATTTGAAGAAAACATTGATAATGTGAAAGTAACAAAAGGAAGGAAAAATCTCACAAATTCAAGGCCAATTCCTTTGGAAGCTCCTTGAACCATGGAGACCCCACCATGAGAAGAAGAAAAGGCCCTTCGGGTGAATGATAAGAATCGCAGCGAATGTGATGCCATCAAAGTGTTTTGGGTGTGTGGCAAAAGCATCAGATGAAAAAGCTCTTATCTTGCTTAGTGGATGTTGATGGGCACAACACAACACAACACCATAAAAGCGTGGCTAGCTAATAACCCAGAAAAAGAATCCAATTCACAAAACACAAACCAAACCAATGTTGTTGTTATTAGTAAATGCAATGTGATTTTGTAGGTGACAAGTGGCAAGTGACAGCAACATATTTCAGAACTGAATTTTGGAAGTTGAAGACACCGTTTGGTTGGTTCCCACCATTTATTTGCATCTGATTCTGTTGTTTAAGCATGTGCTACGTGTAGATAATAAGATCCACACTTATCTAATTTTATTTTATTTTTTATTTTGTTTACTCCCATAATATTTATCTTGGTTTAATTTGGTTTTATACTCTTATATTTCCATATACTGTGTACATTTTAATATCTAGTTTTAAATTTGTTTTCTTAATTCTTCGATTTGCAGTTAGTGAATTGTAGGAGTGTAAATGGTTAAGGCTTGTTTGCTTTAAGTTTGGCTTGTCATATTTTGTTTAATAAATAAAACACGCTTAAAAAAAAATTTATTCAGCAAACAATTCCAAACTTAATTTAATGAGATTTGCCTTAAAAGTCCATAAGCTGGCCTGATATATTATTATAATAAATAATATATTTTTATGTCACTGAATCAATAACTTTACTTTTATAACCATATTTTTTTACTATTGTCTTGTTGGGCTTCCTCCTGCAATGCTAAGCCCAAGCCAATTGAAGGATTTCTTAAAAATTCTAAACCCTAGATTTCATCCCCTCTATATATTCATTAGTTGTGGGTGGAGGCTAGGTTAGAGAGAAAAATTTAAGAGAAAATTATTTAAGAGATTTGAGAGCAAAGCTTTAAGCTTTGTATTTGAGAGATCTCTAAAGAGAGTTTGAGTGAAACATCTCTAGGATAGTTTGATTATTACCATTGTTGAAGAGGTTGAGTTAACCACCACTTTGGTGAATTTGATTCTTCGTATCCATTATTTACATAGTGGACGTTTGATCTGGACTAGGTCCCGTGAGTTTTTACTTCTTCATTGGAGAAGGTTTTCTCACGTTAAAACTGTTTGTGTTCTCCTTCTCTCTCTCTGTCTCTCTTGTTTGTGTTTTTTTTTTTTCTGTTGCGCTGCTCGACCTGGTGAAGTTCAGACCGAGATAATTGCCGAGATTCGAGATCCAGGATCTTGTTGACTGACTTCCGCAAAAGGCTGCTTAGCCGACTTGAGGGAACTGAGTTCCCAACAGTGGTATCAGAGCCCGAGTTCGACGGGTTCTGAGGGAGACGAGATGGAGACCAGTGGCATAACCCATGATGGAGATATGTTCAAGCTGACCGCAGACAATTTCACCTATTGGAGACTGATGATGGAAGATCATCTCTACTGCAAAGATTTACATTAGCCCATTATTCTTGATGGGATACCGGAAGGCAAAAACGATAAGGAGTGGGAGATTCAGAGTCGTAAGGAGGTAGCTACAATCAGAAAATATATTGACAAAAGCCTTTTTGAGCACGTGTCCGAGTTTACGAACGCGTACGAGTCGTGGACGAAGTTGGAGTCCATGATTCAGAAGAAGACTCCTAGAAACAAAGCACACCTAGTTCGCCGACTTGTGAATCTAGAATACAAGGACGACATGAGCATGATTGAACACCTCAACACCTACAAAGGTATTGTGAATTAGCTGTCAAAAACTGAGATGAAAATTGATGACGAGATGCAGGCCTTGCTGCTGTTGAGCTCGCTGCCAGAAAGCTGGGATACTCTGGTGGTGACTTTGAGTAATTCGACTCCAGATGAAAAATTGAAGATGATGTCGTGACAGACAGCCTCCTGAACAAAGAAGCCAGGAGAAGAGAACGAGGTGTTTCGAGCACGTCTGAGGCCAACGTTGCTGAGAACAAAGGGAAATCCGACTCCCGGGGTAGAAGCAAGAGCCAGGGTTGAGATCGTGATAGAAGAGGAAAGTCCAGAGGTCGGTCAAAGCCGAAATATGAGTTGATGTGCTTTTACTGTGGAATGACAGGCCATAAGAAGCCAGACTGCTGGACCTTGCAGAATAACGAGAAGAACGGCTTTGTAAAGCCGAATCAGATTATTCCCAAGAAGAAGGAAGACAAGAGCACCACTGCAGTGGCTGCCAACCCAGATGCCGAGATATTCCTTCTTGGTGAGGATAATTATTTGAATGTTGCATATGATGACTGCACCTGGATTGTTGACTCTGGTGCCTCCTTCCACGTTACTCTACACAAAGATTTTTTCTACTCTTATTGAGGTGGTGACTTTGGAGTTGTGAAGATGAGAAATCAAGTGACCAGCAAGATTGTTGGTGCCGGTGATGTGACCTTGACCACGGATGTTGGGTGCCGACTTGTGTTGAAAGATGTAAGGCATGTTCCTGACATGCGGTTGAACTTAATCTCGGTAGGCAAGCTTGACGATGCCGGGTTAGTGAACTACTTCGGTAGTGTTAGATGGAAGCTAGCCAAGGAAAACTTGGTTGTTGCCCGAGGTAAGAAGGAATGCTCCTTGTACGTGATGCAAGGAAAAATCAATGGCGAAGAAGCCAATTCTATCCGAGATGGACCTAACTTGGAGCTATGGCACAAGCGTCTCGGCCACATGAGTGTGAAAGGGCTCTAAATTCTGAGCAAGAAAGGATTACTGACCAGGTTGAAAGGCCAAGCGTTGGAGAGTTACACGCATTCCCTAGCTGAAAAGCAGCACCAGGTTTCTTTTGTGAGACCGATTCAACCAAGAAGACGCAGGTATATTCTTGACCTCGTCCATACTGATGTCTGCTCCATGTCAGGAAAGATCCCTTGGAGGAGCTCAGTACTTTGTTTCATTTATTGATGACCACTCCCGCAAAGTATGGGTTTATTTGTTGAAGTATAAAGACCAGGTACTCCAATCCTTTAAAGAATTTCTTGCAATGGTTGAAAGGGAGACTGACAAGAAATTGAAGGTGGTCAGATCTGACAATGGTGGTGAGTACTGCGGCCCTTTTGATGCATATTGCAGAGCGGCCAGGATCTAACTTGAGAAGACGCCCCTAAAGACTCCACAGTTGAATGGACTGGCTGAGAAGATGAACTAAACTATTGAAGAGAAGGTCCGAAGTATGTTATCTAATGCCGGATTGCCGAAATCATTCTGGGGAGAAGCCGTCAGAATAGCTGTTAACTTGATTAACCTCTCACCAACACGGCCACTTGAAGGACAAATTCCAGAAGAAGTCTGGACAGGTCGGAAAGCGGCCTATAATCAACTAAAGGTGTTTGGATGCCGAGCTTTCATGCACATCCCTAAAGATGAAAGGTAAAAACTTGATGCAAAGACAAAAGAATGCATCTATCTTGGTTCGCCGAGATATGAGTTCGGGTTCCGACTTTGGGATCCAATCAATAAGATAGTGAGAAGCCGAGATGTGATCTTTCATGAAGATGAGAACATTTATGGCATCTCGAAGCCCAAAGTCTGGGTTAATGTCAGACGTGAAGAACTCAATCCTCTTGTCCGAGCTAAAGCAGGGGGAGAAAATTAAGAAAATGAAGAAAATGATGACCAAGACACTGAGGTCCGAGTTGATGATGACATCCGGGATGAGAATGATGAACTGGGTTCTCAAGCTGAAGAACAGCCAAGATATTCAACTCGAGAAAGAAGACCCTCTACAAGATACTCATCTGATGAATACATTGTTGTTGCTGAAGACGGTGAGCCTCAGAGTTACGATGAGGCTGTGACGAGCTCAGAGAAAGAAGAATGGGAAAAAGCAATGCATGACGAGATGAAGTCTCTGCATGAGAATCAAACTTATAAGCTGACCGAGTTTCCTGAATGAAGACGAGCTTTGAAAAATAAATGGGTCTACAAGATTAAGACTGAAGAGAACGGGCAGAAGCCGAGATACAAAGCCCGGATTGTAATGAAAGGGTGCAATCAGAAGAAAGGAGTAGACTTTGAGGAAATTTTTTCTCCTGTGGTGAAAATGACCTCGGTCCGAACCGTGTTAGCCATGGCGGCCTCGATGGACCTCGAGGTAGAACAAATGGACGTGAAGATGACATTTCTTCATGGTGATTTAGAAGAAGAGATATATATGGAGCAACCTGAGGGGTTCCGAGCTCCAGACAAAGAAGACTTGGTATATCGGTTGAAGAAGAACCTCTATGGCTTAAAGCAAGCACCTCGACAGTGGTACAAGAAGTTTGAATCATTTATGACTGATCACAAGTTTGAAAGACAGAAGCCGACCACTGCGTATTTGTGAAGAGGTATGAGGCTGGAGATTTTTTGATTTTGTTGTTATATGTTGACGACATGGTTATTGTAGGGAAATTGAGGATAGCCGCCCTGAAGAAGGCGTTGAGCTCATCCTTCGCAATGAAGGACCTCGGCCCTGCAAAGCAGATTCTCGGAATAAAGATTATCCGAGATAGACAAAAGAAGCTACTGTGGCTGAGTCAAGAGAAGTATATTGAGAAGATTCTGAAGAGATTCAACATGGACAAAGCCAAAACAGTGAGGACCCCCCTAGCCGGACACATAAAGCTGAACCAGAAGCAATATTCGAAATCTGATGAAGACAAAGATGAGATGCTGAAGATCCCGTACCAATCCGCCGTCGGAAGCTTGATGTACACAATGATTTGCACTAGACCCGACTTGGCGTATGCTGTTGGAATGGTAAGTCGATATCTGTCAAACCCCGGCAAAGAGCACTGGGAAGCAGTGAAGTGGATCTTCAAGTACCTCCGAGGTACGACCAATTTATGCCTCCAATTTGAAGAAGGCAAAGCTGAGTTGCAAGGCTACTCGGATTCTGATTTAGGGGGAGATTCCGACTCAAGGAAGTCGACGACGGGATACATTATGAGATTTGTCGGAGGAGCTGTCTCTTGGCAATCAAGACTTCAGAAGTGTGTTGCACTATTGACAACTGAGGCTGAGTACATTGTCGCTACTAAGGCAAGCAAAGAGATGTTGTGGATGAAGAAGTTTCTCATGGAACTCGGCCATGATCAAGACAAGTACGAGCTGGATTGTGACAATCAAAGCGCAATCCAT